CCTCTGCGGCTGCTTTCTGCTCCTCAGCCCGACTGAGCGCTGAGACCTTCCGTGCTGCTGGAGGAAGCCACCCCGGCGGGGGCGCGGGGGGGGAGGATTTAGCGTTTTCGCCTGCAACCTCCACAGAAGAGGAGCTGCAGCGCAGCGGCGTGAAAAGTTGCCACTAGCTTATTTCCAATGCGCGTCGGTGCACGAATATTCCAAGCCAAGCACCTGCATTGTGACTTCCTGTGCTATTGCTTTCGATCCTTCCTCTTTTGGGGGTGGAGGCGAGGGGGAAGTTAAGCGGAGGAGCTCGTCACTTCTCGCCTTCTCAAGATCGACCACGCGTTGTCTCTCCGCCGCTTGCAGCGGATCCGGGGATGCGGCTCCTTTTCCTGAAGGAAGTTGTGCTGCTGCCTTCGCGTGGAAAATGAACCCAGCCGCTTACCTCTAGAGAAGCGCGAGGCAGCGCTCTCCTGCCTGGTGGTGGCCCCGAAGGAGCGGGGCTCGACAGTCACCTCGCTGGACGACGTCCCCCCAGTCCGCCACGGCCCTCAGTTCTGCTGTTTCCGGTAACTCCAACCGCCTGAGCAAAGTCATGGACAACCGCCTCGGCTCCCTGCCTTTGAAGATTTTTTAAACACGTGTCGGGAGTTCCTGGGACACCCCCCACCTTTTTCCCGCCTGTTTTTTTTTATTTTTATTTTATGGGGGTGACTTTTCTTATAAGAGTCTCCTCCTCCCCTTGACCTGTTTCCTGCTTCAGGGGGAAAATCAGGGGAATTTTAACTTGCAGCCTTTTTCCTGATTTAATTTTATTTTGTAATATTAAAATCTGAGAATGGGCAATGCAGCCAGCAGCATGGAAATGTCTCCAGCTAAGGAGATTAAAAGCCAGCCAACCGCGTCTTCGCCTTTACCCCCCAAACAGCCTGCACCCCCCAAACTACCCATGCCCAGTGCTGAGGAATTGGAAGAACGATTTGGACATGTTCTGGTAAGTCTCTCAGGAGCTTTCCTCAACCTTTACCTCCCTCTCCCACCTCAACAAAAGCCACCCTTTAACTTCACCTTCCTTTCCCCTTCATCATTCTAGCTACTTGTGTTAGATTGGATGGGGGTCTTTAACATCAAACCTATGTGCAGGGCAAGGTAACCTGACAAGGGGATGAAGTCAAGCCATGTTTGCAGATCAGGGAGGTTAATGATGGAGAAAGAGTCTTTGAAGTGACCATGACTGGTAATGAGATGTTTGAGAATTCCGTTGCTGGATCATATGGTATCATTAACACTTCTTGTGCCACATGTCTCTCTGATTAAAATGGTATGAAATGCAGTTCTCATGCTGAAAATCTGTAATGAGAATAAAATAGTCAAATGAACAGGATCAATGTTCACAGACCCAGATTCTGCCTCCTTAGGATTCTTATCCAAGTTAGAGGGAGGGTGTGACTATGGAGGGAGGAGAGAGGGTGAGAACAGCTCCCAGTTCATTCATCTGGAGAGGTGTGCGTTCTTGTGTTGCCTCCAGCTCCCTGTGGAGGTTACATCTTTCTTAGTGTTTCCAGAAATATGTGTCTGTTGTACACTACAGATCAGCTTAATGAAAAGATAGCTCTCTCCTTTGCCTGTTTTCTTAATGTGATCTTAGTACCAACAACCATTGCCCTTTTCTAACCTTGAATGCCTAAATGAAGTTGAATTACACCACCCATTGCCGCCACCCCCCCCCAGTCCTGGGAATAATGTTCCCCTGAAGGTGTTACCCTGTCAAAATTCTACAGGGCAGAGCCTAATCTCTGATGCTGCTTTCACTGAGTACAGCTATACTCCTAAGGCAGCCTTCCTGGTTCCTCTGAATGTGTTGGGACTTCATGGTCCTGTCTTCATCATGCTGGGTGGGATTGCTAGGGAGTTGTAATCTGAACACATCTGGAGAAAACTGGTTTGAAGAAGCCTGGCCATATTTAAAGCTTTCTTCTGGATTTGATGGTTTCAGATCCATGTTGGATTTTGTCTCTAGGGAGACAGTATTCTGAGCACTTCAGTTTAGATGTGACAAGATGAATTCCCAGCAAGCCACACTGAAGGCA